AAGAGAGCAAGGCGTGGATGGGGTTGATCCTGTGGTTCTTTGGTCGAGAGCTGGGTGTTTACGGCCGGGTACGAGCCTTTTGATTTTGGTTAGATCTATTAGTCTTTCGGAACATGGACAAACTTACAAGGCGTCGCAGGCTGTGTAATTATCATTTATGATTAGTTTAATCATCCTTTTGGGCGAGGGCAAATAGCCTACCTTGTCGTTCGTGTGGACGCTGCTGGCGCTACAGAGTCAGTTGCATATTATCCTCACCACTTACACAGTACTTACTGTGACGATATCGATGGGCGGGCTACAGAGTTAGCCGCATGTTACCCTCGCGAAGTACACATAGTACATACTTACCGTGACGGTTTCGATGGGTGGAGCTGAGAATGGGCGCCTGATAGCAGTTAGTCATCAAAAGACTTCGATACAACTTTGCCTTTGTGTACATACTTACGCGTGGTTGCTGATTCGAATATCTGTATGACTAGTTCTAATAAATCCCAAAATTTTGTTTCACAAAAATTGTTCCCGAAAGGCCGGAGCCAATTAGTGAAAGGATGACATTGATACTATGTAGCGAGGAAAAAAAAAACAGTAATCAGTGCCAAAATCAGGTTCCCTTACATTTGATCTTCTGCTCCCGAGGAAACATATACTGATCCTTCTTGACCGAATCGAATTGAGTCAGACCCATGTACGCAATGGCCCATGATGTGGCAAGTTCAGTGTCGCGATTCATGAAGGTATCGAAGTCGTTGTGCCCAGCAGCTGCCGTCAGGTGTGTTCTCACCCTGTTTAGAGCTGGACATGCGCATAGCATATGCTTGATAGTGTGAGGAATGTATCCACAGTGTGGGCAACTCATGTCCATATTTTTTTGGTGATATCGGAAGACTGGATTGGCCTTGACGCCAATGTTTCCAGTGCGCATTCCTAAGAGCATCGTTTGCTGTAAGGTATTCAGACCGTGGTAGAGCTTCAGAGTGTGCTCACCAAATTCCGCTTGGTACGCTGGTTGCGCAAACTTCCGAGTGCGAGAAGGCTCGGTTGCTTGCATGCGCTTCCAAAAATCAAACTGCTTCTTCGCTTTGGCAAATGTCTTCATGTCGATGAACTCCTTGATCCAAGATTTTCGTGTCGTTGCCCTTGCCCACATACTGTCGCATTCTGCCTCATGGTAATAGGCTGCTTTGTTCTTAAAGATCTGACGCTTGTAATCATTTGCTAGCCGGCTCATTTGGGTGTGAGGATGATTGCTTCCCTCTCCCCTAGCCAAGATTCGCATTCGTCGCATGAACTCGTACTCTTTCGAACCAAGTTTTCGGCACCGATGGTTCATCGCAACCGCATGAAGTTTCAGAGAAATTGGTAGAATATGCATTTCGTTCTGCAAAAGTTCTGCAGGAGTTCGTCTCCAAGCCTTGGATAGTTGAATGAGGATCTCAATTTGGAGGGATTTCAATCGCTTCATGGTCTCCTTTGGTATGCAATAGCGTAGTTTTTCGTGGCTTTCCTCTTGAATTGGATCATCGAGAAACCAAGCGGGGCAGGCGTATGTAATGATGGGAATGAGATGTTGGTGGTAAAGATCACGTCGTTGCTCGAGCGGAATACCCCAGGTTGACCTAAAGAGGGACTGGTAGTTTTTCAACCTCTTCCTAACCTTTTCGGCTATCTGTCTACATGTAAGTTATTTTGGGCGAAAAGATGAAGTGGCGAAGAGAGACAGGGCTTACATAGTTGACATGGGCCTCCCAAGTGAGGCGTCGATCGAAAACTACCCCAAGGATAGTCATCGTCGGCTGCAAAATGCTTTCTTTTTCTTCCTTACTCAAACTCTGGAAACCGATCATGTTCGGCAAAAGCTTGCAGTCCTCGTCTTTGTTTCCCTGCCCCGACCTCGAAAAGTGCATAATATGGTATTTGGAAGGTGAAAAGCGCATGCCGTTCTGATCTGCCCACTTGTACAGCCGGTCATGGATGACGCCCATTTTCGCAACATTTTCTTCATATGATTTTGTGGAAAGGAGAATGTAAGTATCATCAACGAAAGAAAAAAGATTTGCGGAGGTGTAGTTCTTGGCGAATTCGTCTAGGAGGGGCGCCGCGTAGAACAAAAATAGTAATGAGGAGAGGGGGCTTCCCTGAGGAACGCCGACATCGATGTAGTATTCATCACCATTGTAGCCGGGGAGGTGAATGTAAGTGCGGCGATCGGACAGAAATGACCAAGTAATCTCGACCAGCCAATCAGGTATACCAAGTGAGATCAATCTGCCCAGCAGTTTGCCTCGATCAATGTGATCATACGCACCCGTAAGATCAAGACCGAGCAGACTGACCTTGAATTTTTTTGTCCAGCCGGTGTAGATTTGTGTCGTTAGCAGTTCTAGTGCAAGAGTCGTGCTACGGCCCGGCGCGCCAAATTGTGTAAATGGGAGCATTCCTTCCACTTCTAGGACAAGACGTTTAAATCGATCCGCTATTATCCGCTCAAGTAACTTTGCCAGTGAGTTCAGAAGGGCGATGGGTCTATAGGATTTGGGCAGGGATGGGTCCTTGC